ATCAGGGTGGAGAAAGGGGTCCAGGAAAGGAGGAAAGCGGCTGGGGAGCGCAGAGGGGGCAGAGAAGTGGGCGAGCGGCAAGGAGAAAGGAAGGGCGCGAGGGATGGGAAGAGGGAGAGGACCGGAGAGCCGAGGGCGTCGGGAGGGAGAGGGTTAAACGGCGCCAGGGACCGGGTTCCCCTCCGCCGCCTCGCAGACTCCGATTGCGGGAGGCCGAGCAAGAAACCCCCCACTCTAGATGAAAGCCAGGAGGCAGCACAGGTAGGGAACCCGGACTGTGGCTCCTCTGCCGCGCAAACATCTACTCTCTGTGCACACATATATGCTCCACGTTATATAATCTGTGTTCAAATGCATGTGTCGCCGAGGTTCGCACAGGGGCACCCAGACCTACGCGCTTCAGGCAGCCCCCGTGTCTCAGAGGCCGGCTCCCTGCGGCCCGCGATCCCCCGCTCCATTCGCGCCCAGGCGGGGAGCCGCCAGGAAGGCACCCGGAGTGGCGCGCGGGGCTCCAGGACACAGAATCACGCGAAAGCATCACCTACCAGTTTTCCTGCATCCACTGGATGGCTTCGTTCTCGTTGAATTGCTTCTCGAATTCATATTCTTGTAAAGTCAACACTGACATGTTCATTGGGGCTGATCTTCGGAGTCGCTATGTGTTCTCTACACAAAATAAAATAATCTGTGAAGCGCTAGGTTTCAAGTATTAAGCTTCCCCTACCCGCCCCCCAGGCCTGCCCCTCGCCGCCGGGTCGCGGCGGTCGGTCTCTCCCAAGCTCTCAGCTACATCCAGGGCTGAGCATTGCCTGCGCTCGGCTCCCAGCTCCGCGCTCCGGGGCTCTCCTCCTCCCGGCGTCCGCATCCACCGTAGGAGGAAATGAATGCCTTGCGGTCTTAGTGCCCGCACGTTTGTCCATCACCCTTTTTACTTGTCTACAGGGAAATCTCCTCCCCCTCGTGCGATGGGAAAAATTAACCCTTTGCGCGGGAGAGCGAGAGCGCGCGAGACCTCTCCCCTCCAGCCCTGGGAGGCGCTTTGCCCGCGCGAAGGTGACTGGGGAAGTGGGAGAAGGACGAGGAGAGGGAGAAAGTGGCCTCCAGGTCGGCCACGGTCCCCAATACCGACCTCGTGGGCCGCCTAACCTTGCCTTTGAAGGTAGTTTCGGCGTGCGGGGCGCAGCCCGGAGGCGCGCGTGCCCACGAGCTTGGCAAGTAGGCGACAGGAAATAGTAAAACCTGCCAGCTGTCTTGTAAGAACGCCAAGGCAAATCTGAGCCGAGATTTTTACCCGCGAAGGACATGGGGTTCCCCGCCTCCTGGCTCCCGCGAGCACCCTCCAGGTCCCCCATCCCGGAGCGATGGTGTTGACTCACTTAAACGTGGGGCCGGGCGGCCAGCAGAGCTCCCAAATCACTTGCCGGCTTGGGATGCTCAGGCTGAGGATGGTGGAAAGTGCAGAGTGAAAAGGAGTAGCCCGGAGAGGGAAATTGGTTAGGTGGAGGGTTTGGGGTGGGGGAGGGGAGGGTTAATGAACTGAGAGAGACAAAGGGGGGAGAGGAAGTTAGCAGGTAGGAAAACTAAACTAACTGGTCCAATGGGAAAATTTTACTGCAATCCATGAGGAATTGCCCTTCTTTTATTTTCCGGGTAGGTGGAACAGAATTGCTTGAGGAGAGTGCTAGATGTAATGTTGACCCTTCCTGAACCCCAGTCTCACAGCAGTGTTTTAGTCCCAGCTTCTGCAGACACCCCTCTTTTTTTTCCAAGAGCAAAAAGTGTTTTTCACTCGGTCCATTCCTCCATTCATTCCCCACAAATTAGAAAAAAATGAAATATAATCCATGGATGTAATTGTAAGCTTAAAATACAACAATAAGGAACCTATGCTTTAAAAATTAGGTGGACATTAGGACCTGGAAGAAAATTCCCCTTCTCTTGTGGGTGGCTACCCACCTCCCTTGATAATCCAAAAAAGGGGTATTTCATGCATAGTCAAGTGTCTGGAAACCATAGTAAAGTGGGGACTAGGAGAAACAGTTCTGTCAAAGAGGAAGGTATAATTTGAAGTTAAAGAAGTTTTAAAAATCCACTACCAGATTATATCAATCAAAGGACTAGACTGGTTGAGGATTAGCAAATTAATTTATAAGTTGACACTCAAAGATTCCATGCATGGAATTTTCAAGTGTTGTACTAGACTAGAGACTTCTACAGTACAATTCTCAGTGAAGGTAAAACTCAGGCCAAAGGCCTCAGCCCATTGGGCTGCAAGGTGGGTGTGGCCTGATGAGACAAGGATTTTCTCACAGTTTCTGAGCAATCAATAAATATTTGTAAAATGAATAAAAGATTGATTTAAGAACTATGACGAAAGAAGGGGGTAAAAATCCAGCAAACAGTTTACTATGTGTTGCAAGGATAAGTCCTAGTTTTGTTTTTAAAGGATTTGATTTTTAAATTGTGTATTCTTACTAGTCATCACATCAATTTCAAACTAGTCTGAGAAATTCTCATTTACTTACCATGTTTCTTATTCAAATAATGTCTGATTGCCTATTTATTTCCAAAGATGGATTTGGGGCCATGCTAAAAACAAATATCTGATTTGTGCATAATAATGTCTAAAGAGAAATGACTTCAAAGTGGGAGATATCACTCCATTTCTTAAACTTCAAAGTGACCACCTGCAAAAATGGTAAATGCTTGATAGTACTAAGTGCTGTTGAGAGTATACAGAACAGGCACTGTAGGTGGCAGTGAGAACTGGCGATGATCTGGAAGGCATCTTGGCAGCCTATATTCGGCAGGTCATTTTCAACCCCCTTATCCTCTGACCAGTCATTCACCAGGTATTTCTGGAGCCTGTGTTCTTCTGAGCTCCTGGGACTCAGTGGAGAAGAAGGGAGACAGGGGTCCTGCGCTTTTGAAGCTCACATTCCAGAGGGGAAGACAAAATGATGTAATAGCAGGTGAAGTGGATTTGATTCTAAACTACAATGGGGTGAAGGAATATTAAAGGATCTTTACTGGAGGATAGCATGATCATTCCTAGTAATTCTACTACTGGGAATTTACTCTGTGAATACACTCACAAAAACATCCAAAATATAAGGTATTGTTCAGCACTATTTGTAATAACAAAACACCCTTATAATGGAATATTATAAAGCTTTTTAAAAAGAAATAATTAGGTTGTGGATTGGATCTCCAGGAGGGGGCAGGGAGTATGCAGGAGGCAGCCAATCAAGGATTCTCATCATTGATGTTTCTCTCTCTCTCTCTCTCTCTCGCCCTTCCTCTCTGAAATCAATAAAAATAATTCTGCAAGATGCAATATCAAAAAAGCTTCCAGATACA